GCAGTCGGTAGGCAGTCCGTAGGCTGGAGGTAGGCAGATGGTAGGCAGTCGGTAGGCAGGAGTTAGGCAGCTGGCAGACAGGAGGTAGGCAGGAGGTAGGCAGCAGGTAGGCAGTCGGTAGGCAGTCGGTAGGCAGTCGGTAGGCAGTCGGTAGGCAGGAGGTAGCCAGCTGGTAGGCGGGAGCTAGGCAGTCGGTAGGCAGAAGCTAGGCAGCCGGTAGGAAAGAGATAGGCAGTCGGGAGGCAGCCGGTAGGCAGGAGGTAGGCAGTCGGTAGGCAGTCGGTAGGCAGTCGGTAGGCAGGAGGTAGGCAGCAGGTAGGCTGGAGCTAGGCAGCCGGTAGGCAGGAGGTAGGCAGGAGGTAGGTAGTCGGTAGGCAGGAGGTAGGCAGCCAGCAGACAGGAGGTAGGCAGGAGGTAGGCAGTCGGTAGGCAGGAGGTAGTCAGTCGGTAGGCAGGAGGTCGGCAGGAGGTAGGCAGTCGGTCGGCAGGCGGTAGGCAGTCGGTAGGCAGTCGGTAGGCAGTCAGTAGGCAGTCGACATGCAGGAGGTAGGCAGTCGGTAAGCAGTCGGTAGGCAGGAGGTAGGCAGCCAGCAGACAGGAGGTAGGCAGGAGGTAGGAAGCCGGTAGGCAGGAGGTAGGCAGTCGGTAGGCAGGAGCTAGGCAGCCAGCAGGCAGCCGGTAGGCAGGAGGTAGGCAGTCGGTAGGCAGTCGGTAGGCTGGAGGTAGGCAGACGGTAGGCAGTCGGTAAGCAGGAGGTAGGCAGCTGGCAGACAGGAGGTAGGCAGGAGGTAGGCAGGAGGTAGACGGCCGGTAGGCAGGAGGTAGGCAGTCGGTAGGCAGTCGGTAGGCAGGAGGTAGGCAGTCGGTAGGCAGGAGGTAGGCAGTCGGTAGGCTGGAGGTAGGCAGACGGTAGGCAGTCGGTAAGCAGGAGGTAGGCAGCTGGCAGACAGGAGGTAGGCAGGAGGTAGGCAGGAGGTAGACGGCCGGTAGGCAGGAGGTAGGCAGTCGGTAGGCAGTCGGTAGGCAGGAGGTAGGCAGTCGGTAGGCAGGAGGTAGCCAGCTGGTAGGCGAGAGCTAGGCAGTCGGTAGGCAGAAGGTAGGCAGCCGGTAGGCAAGAGGTAGGCAGTCGGGAGGCAGCCGGTAGGCAGGAGGTAGGCAGCCAGCAGACAGGAGGTAGGCAGGAGGTAGGCAGTCGGTAGGCAGGAGGTAGTCAGTCGGTAGGCAGGAGGTCGGCAGGAGGTAGGCAGTCGGTAGGCAGTCGGTAGGCTGGAGGTAGGCAGACGGTAGGCAGTCAGTAAGCAGGAGGTAGGCAGCTGGCAGACAGGAGGTAGGCAGGAGGTAGGCAGGAGGTAGACGGCCGGTAGGCAGGAGGTAGGCAGTCGGTAGGCAGTCGGTAGGCAGGAGGTAGGCAGTCGGTAGGCAGGAGGTAGGCAGACGGTAGGCAGTCGGTAAGCAGGAGGTAGGCAGCTGGCAGACAGGAGGTAGGCAGGAGGTAGGCAGGAGGTAGACGGCCGGTAGGCAGGAGGTAGGCAGTCGGTAGGCAGTCGGTAGGCAGGAGGTAGGCAGTCGGTAGGCAGGAGGTAGCCAGCTGGTAGGCGAGAGCTAGGCAGTCGGTAGGCAGAAGGTAGGCAGCCGGAAGGCAAGAGGTAGGCAGTCGGGAGGCAGCCGGTAGGCAGGAGGTAGGCAGCCAGCAGACAGGAGGTAGGCAGGAGGTAGGCAGTCGGTAGGCAGGAGGTAGTCAGTCGGTA